AGGGTTTAGGGTTTAGGGTTTAGGGTTTAGGGTTTAGGGTTTAGGGTTTAGGGTTTGGTGGAGAGCTGGAGGCCAGCAGTGGGATGCTTTCGGGGTGTACAGACACCCCAAACCGTGGGGTGTATTTGGGGTGAACAGACACCTCAATGTGCGGAGTTTTTGGGGTGCACAGACAGCTAGAACTGTGGGCTTTTTGAGGTTTACAGACAGCTGAAAGTGTGGGTTCTTGGGGTGTACAGGCACCTCAAAATGTGGGTTTTTGGGGTATACAGACACCTCAAACTGTGGGTTTTTGGGGTGTACAGACACCTGAAAGCGTGGTGTTTTGGGGTGTACAGACAGCTGGGGTTTTGCGTTTGTGGGGCGTGCAGTGTACGAACTGACGGAGGCTTTTTGGTCAGCAGCAACTTTGAATTCGGAAAAAGTTTTGAACAGAATTTGCAGATCTGCTGCTCCTTGGGACCGCCCAGCAGCAGACACTCCGCAGCCACTTTACAGAAGTTGGACAAAAAACCAAAACGAAATTTACGAAACTTTTTCTCCCCAAGAGCGGCAGCAACTCGAGTTCATTCGCTACAAGATTCCCCCAGAAACGCCTGTCCGCTAGGGTTTAGGGTTTAGGGTTTAGGGTTTGGGGTTTGGGGTTTAGGTTTGGGGCTTGGGTTTGGGGTTTAGGCGCGGCGGGTGGGGTTTAGGGTTTAGGGTTTAGGGTTTGGGGTTTAGGCTTGGGGCTTGGGGTCTGGGTTTGGGGTTTATGCGCGGCGGGTGGGGTTCAGGGTTTAGGGTTTAGGGTTTGGGGTTTAGGAGCGAGGGGTGGGGTGTAGGGTTTAGGGTTTGGGGTTTGGGGTTTAGGGACGGGAGTGGGATTTAGAGTTTAGGGTTTAGGGTTTATGGTTTGGGGTGTGCTGTTCAGTCTGGGGATCTGTGCATTCTAATGCTGGGAGAGTTCGACAAGGTAAACCCTAAACCCTAAACCCTAGAGTTGCTCAGTTCTCTCTCAGGGCCCTGTTTACTAGCTTCCTCGAGCTTCAGGGTTCGCGGCCAAGGGTTTAGGGTTTAGGGTTTGAGGTTCAGGGCCTAGGGTTTAGGGTTTAGGGTTTAGGGTTTAGGGTTTAGGGTTTTGTTTAGGAATGGACGGAGCCAGTGCAGCAGGCAGACCCTCCGCTGCCGCCGCAGTCGTGGCTGGCGAGAAGCAGAAAAGAAGAATTGGAAGTTGCTGCTGCCAAAGGTGCTGCTGTTCTCAAGGGCAGCAAGCACTGGTAATTGCTGCTGCTGCTGCTGCTCCTGCTCCTGCTGCTGCTCCTGTGCTCCTGCTGCTGCTCCTGCTGCTGCTTCTGCTGCTGCTCCTGCTGCTGCTCCTGCTGCTGCTCCTGCTGCTGCTGCTCCTGCTGCTGATTCTGATTCTGCTGCTGCCGGCGCTGCGGCTAGCAGTGGTGTTGCCTTGGCGTCGCCTAGCACCTGCTGTCGCAGCCCTAACCCTAAACCCTAAACCCTAAACCCTCGGAGTCTGCGCTGCGTTCAGGATCTTTCCAGTAGTTTCTCCTTCTTTTCCTGGCAATTTAAGTCCAGTTGGAATTCCGCTGCAGATAAGAGACGACTCGGTTGAGGCTTTTGCTGCTGTGTCGCTGCCGCTTCCCGTTGCTGCTGCTGCGCCCCCAGCAGCAGCAGCAAACACAGCAG